GATTTAACGATTTCAGACATTCTTTGAAAATTTTGCAAATTCTATAATAGTTTTTTAAATGCTTTGCTGAAGGAAATCTGGAATCGAACGTAAGTCGTTGACAGCAAGTCAGTGAACATCGTCAAGTGTGAAGTGGACTACAGAGCTCGTACCGAAGTGTAGAGCAAATATCAAGAATATTCTTCGATTTCGCCGCCATTCCTGAAAACACTTACTCCCTCGGGCTAAACAGCGAGGGAATGAATCAGGAACCTCGCTTCTTCGACATCTCCGAATTGCTCGATGTTTCCTACATTGTTCTAATATGTCCTTCTACCTGTATTTTCCTCGATATTCCGAGACTGCCCGATTTCACTTACACTCGAGTCGCTTTCAAATCGTCCTCGATCTTCAAAAATTATTTGCCCGTCGCATGCGCACACTGCTGCCATATTCATAATCAGCGTGAACGAAGGAACGTGTTCGTTTCAGCACGGTGGTGGCCATTATTAACAACCATCGAACAATAGTCGCGTTATTACAGCGAAGAAGGCAAACAAATATCGACAGGCAGATCAAACAGATTTTATGGGGCACCGGGTCTAATAACAAGCCGCACCGTTGAAACTTCGTTATCGAAAACACACGTATCGCTCTGTCATTGACCGGATAGCGTTAAAATCGATCACGATACCACGCCCTTTCGATAACGAAGCGAATGCCGTTCACGATCCTCGTTCACGAACCGGAGCCCGCCGGTTCACCGGAGAGACTCGCGACAGAGTAATGACACGAGCAGTTTCTGCTGCCTTCGTGCTTGACCTAGCGTGTATTTGCCCACTGGACATCCATACAGCCAGATACACAGGTCCCTTTCACATCGTCCTCCTCTGTAGTACGTGTGCGTACCACACACATACACACACACACACACATATACAGGTGAAATTACACACGCGTGCAAATGGGTTACGTGTACACTGACCTGGCTGGCGCGGAAACTGTGTCCAACGCGAACGAAATGACTCAAGCCTTATGGGCCGAGGCTATCGGAGGAATTAATTTTAGGATGCGTTGGAAGAGATCGAGTATCTGTGTGTTTTTAGGGGACGGATTGAAAGGGCTGAGGAAGTTTAATATGCGGAGGAGCGTTGATGCAGTAAGTTATTCTGTTGGCCAAAAAGTAATTGAACCTCTTTTTTTCAATAGATGGACATACACCTATACGAACCTAAC